AACACAGTACAGCGAGCACATACAGGCTAGATCCACTCACAAACACAGTACAGCGAGCACATACAGGCTAGATTCACTCACAAACACAGTACAGCGAGCACATACAGGCTAGATCCACTCACAAACACAGTACAGCGAGCACATACAGGCTAGATCCACTCACAAACACAAAAGAGCTCCAAATTGTCACCGCGTCACTCGGTGGCAATTGACACTACCCCAAACACGGCGAGATCTAGTCAACAGTGAGTTACTGGCAAGGGAAACACAACAAGAGTTTTAGGGGGAAACCCCAGAAGACGACAAAAATATAATGATGGAAATAGGTCATCTGTATTTGAGTCCATCACAGAGGTGTGCGAGGTGCTCGCTGTAGCTTCATGTCTTTAAAAAAAACACCTCGCAAATCAGTTGTTTAAAAAAAAATATGACCAAAGCATCAAATATTGTTAAAAAGTGAAATATAAGCCAAGTGGGTTTATTGTTCTATAGTCCATAACATGAAATCGTTTGTGGTAGGTAGGCTATAAAGTCAAAAACAGATGAAAATGAAAGTTTCTTTTATGGGGGAAAAAAACATGACTCGAATCCATAAGTGAATTAGTTTAAAGGGGCTACGAAACATTGCCCAAATGCCCCCAAATTGGCAGCCAATGAGAAGAGAGATTGATCTTTACGTCACAGGCTTCCAATTGCAAATCAAGTGAAAAAAGAAGTGATCTTGTGAGGAAGTTATTGTTTGGTTATTCTGAACAAGTGTATATTTGATCACTGCGATATTAGCACTAACATTATGGCAGATAGCTTCAACCTTGGAATATTACAAGCTGACTGCTGAAGTTCCAAGTGAAACCATCGCTTTTTTAAAAAACCATCGCTGTTGTACCCTGTGTTTTGTGACGCTCAAAGGCAGAAAGGGAATGACTGATAAACGCTTGCCGGCAGTTCTGGCATCTGTCCCCCGCAGCGAGCGAGCCAGCTCTCTACTCTAGTACTGTAGTGTACTGAGTGCTCTGTGTTGGGGGAGCATGTACTTTCGCAGTTTATGGAAGGATCGATGCAAAATCATTCCAAGCCTTTGACTCTTATTTTAAAAAGAAAATGACTGATCTTTCTCTTGGTGCCATTTTTTGAGCCGATACTTGACATACTTAGAGTAAAATATGGTCTTTGAAAACTTTGGGGCTTTTTTAAAGGCTTTTAATTTAAATGTCATCGGTAAACAATATCTTGTGAAACCCTGTTCAAAGCTTCCTAGTTCTTTCCCAAGGAAAAGACAGTATTTCATTGTGTCTTGTGAAACCCTGTTCAAAGCTTCCTAGTTCTTTCCCAAGGAAAAGACAGTATTTCATTGTGTCTTTCCTCAAAACATTGGAATGCATGGGTGTCAACTTTTGAACCAGCCGGCCTCATTGTGTCCTTGGGAAAGGTAGGCCTACTTTACACGGATTTTCCTCACTTCGCCCAGGTGTGAATTGGTACCCGGCTATAGACATTGAAAGATTTTGTCAGTTTGTTAGTGTTTTAGGGCATGTAATCCAGTGGTTGCGCTGTATGCTTCCCAGGAAGCCGAGACTGTTTGTGAGTTGTCTAGGGCCTCCTAAGGTAATACAACTGTGAAGCGCATAAAGCATGCTGTAGACTAGAGGTTGGTATGGGCTATACAAATGCTATTATTATTTATTATTTTTATTATTCTCTAAAATGTTCTCCTTTCACCTCCTTTCCCGCTCTCTATTTATGGTTTTTAAAAATGGAAGAAAATCACACAAACGTATTCTTTTCGGTTCTAGAATTCTGTGGGCGTTGTACATTTGCATGTGGGCAGTTTGGTCTTTCCTCTTATCGGTTGCGAAGTTTGATTCATTTGTATAGACGGGTATACCCGAAACTATACTAGAGAATTGTGGTCCTGTTTGACTGGACAACTGTAGCTTTTCTTGAGCTGGGTGTGGAACACTCCAATCTGCCAAACCTTTTAGAAACGTATGGGAACTCAACGGGCATTGTGGTGTAGCAGAGGCCAGGGCAAGGGGGCATAATGCTTGTCAAATTGTGAGCCGCTGGTGTCCAACTGTGACTGCCACAAGTTTTGACGGTAGATGTTGTTGATCTGTCTAGAGTTGACGATAGATGTTGTTGATCTGTCTAGAGTGACCGCCACAAGTAGCAGCCCTGACTGACCAGTGTAGCTGGAGAGACGAGGGAGTTTCCGGCCACCACTGCCACTCGTAGTCTCCCCCCACATCTCCGCTCGTAGTCTCCCACCACATCTCCGCTCGTAGTCTCCCCCCACATCTCCCGCTCGTAGTCTCCCCCCACATCTCCCGCTCGTAGTCTCCCCCCACATCTCCCACCTAACCCGAAGCACCCACCCCCAGCCCGCGCGGAGCTCCCTCCCTCCCCCGCCTGTCCCTCCCCCCCCCCTCACCACCGCCCCGGTTGGAAGATGTCGATGGAACAGAACGGCAACCAGAAGCTGGCCAGCCCGCTCTTCTGCCGCAACGGCTGCGGTTTCTACGCGGCGCAGGCCTTCGACGGGATGTGCTCCAAGTGCTACAAGGACCTGAAGGAGCCGCAGGACCAACAGTCGCACGTCGCTACCTCCGTGCCCTCGCCCAGCCCACCCACGCCCACCGTGGGGGCGCGGTCGCTACCGGGGGCAGGGACTGACGATGTGGACGCTGTGACTGCCGCTCTGAGCAAGACGTCACTGACAGGTGAGTTGTTCCCTCAGATCTGCTGGGGTCATGGTAGATTGGGAAGTGCCGAGAGGGAGTTGTTGGGTGGGGGTTTGTACACAGTGTACAATTGTTGTATATAGTTGCTGTTGGTGGCATGAGTACTGTGTGTGTGGCTTGTTGACTGAGACTGCTGACCTGTGTGGGTGGTTGGTGGCTGCTCTGGTGTGGTTTGCTTCTTCTTTCCTATCAAACATCTATCGTCCTTATCTCTCCTCTTCCTTCTTTCTAGTGTTTGTTACTCTCTTGTAACACCTGTAATCTTCGGCGCTTCTATGACTTTATTGTGTTACAAGTGCCGTAAAACTCATACTGAACCTAAAACGTGTCCCCAGAGATGAACGTGAACAGCTCCAGTAACCCCAACAACAACGAGACCACGCCGGAGAAACACACAGACGCACGGCCGACCTCCGGGGAGACCTCCCAGCCACACACACCGCTGACCACTGGTCAAGCCTTGGACACACCGGATGATGGACAGGCCGCTGGGGTGGACGGTGAGTGGTGGGACATGCAGACAGACAGACACACACACACAGACAGACACACACACACAGACAGACACACACACACAGACAGACAGACTGACAGACTCATACTTACAGACTGACACACACACACAGACAGACACACACACACAGCATAGCTGCCACTTTCCCGCTAAATAGCGGAAACTCCGCTACATCTAGCTTTCCCCGCAACTTTCCTCCTTCCTCCGCTGGACCGCTCTTGGTCGCAAATTTCATACTTTTTTTTCCACGCGGAAAACACCGACCCGGGAGAGAGAGGAAAACGCGGTCTGCGCATGTCCGCC